TAAAAAAAACATCCTAATTTCAATAGAGAAGATGGATGGGTGCTGCCATCTGCTTGGGATCCTATAATTAACAAAATTAAATCCAAACCCAAGCATACCAATACCAATGCAAGACTTCAAGATACTGTAAGTTCATGCTGCGTAAATCGAACCAGTAATTAATATTAAAAAAACTGAAGGTAGCCGAGCTAACTGTGACATCGGGACGTCAAACATCTCAGTCCCCCCCGTGACCATGGGTTGCTGTAAAGCACCCGAAACGTCGGGAATTAAAATAGTAAACTAAACGCGATAAAATCCGTAAAAAACAGTTTTATTCAATGTGTAGTGTTTGCGTAAATATAAGAAATCATTCTGCCTTTATTTTATTTTTATTTATAGGATAGGGTGACAAACGAGCACACAGTCCACCTGATGGTAAGTGGTTGCTGTGGCCCATAGACATCGACATATATCCTCAATAAAGAATCATAATGCAGATGCGTTGTCACCCGTGAGGACTAAGATGGAATGCCTCTTCTGCAGTAAAAAGGGTCTCCGGTTCTCTACACTCACCATACGAAACACAGCAGTTTTAAGCTGCTATTTTACGCTGGTATTCTGTGAGAGCGTGGTCCTTCCCCGGTCGAGCCGACCCATTCGTGCTACAACTATACATTTACTATAGCTGCAGCATAGCTCTACCACGTATAAAATTTTTTTACCTTTACAATTTAATCTTATTATTTCTCTGGAAGAAGGGACTTCTGACGAAGAAACAAATGCACCCCCATAGCTATATGAACCGGAGTGCTTCTATCATACCCATTCTCGTAACAGCATAGGTGGGAATTACGGCTTTAAAATTGCTTTCAGCAAGTAGTGGATTTACAAAAATTCGTTAGCTAGATGGGTGGAACCAAGCTCAATATAAATTTGGTTACACCGTATGCTTAACACACCATTTTTTATGATTCTCAGAATGTTATTTTGGTAGAGAAATTAACCCACTTTAATGGGCTTAATTGTTGAGACCGGGGAGGGATCCACTAATGATTTCATTACGTGAACAATAATAATGTCCTCCAGACCGAATTCTCTGTCACGGCGGTCAGTCTCAACAGAGAACAGCCATCTGCGCAGGACAAGCTGTATGCCACAAGCACAGCTGTACTCTCTATTCCCTCACTCTTATGGTACGATGGCAGTAATTCAACACGACAGGGCAGGACTACCGGCTTTATGTTGTTTTCCGTGGGTAGGGGGTGAAACACCGATAGCTTCCTGACTCCGGGCTGCTCCTGTAGATAAAATATAGTTTATCTATTGCCAATATATTATGCCAAAATCAAGTCGATTCCCGCTATTGACTTGACTTTCATCCCGAAATCGGATTTCGATAGCGACAGTGCCGCTACCTATACAAACCTATCGCTAAACTGATGCGACTAAGATATCATAATACACCAAAGTGTCATAACCGAAAAAATTCGAAATTGAAGAATACAGTATAAGATTCTTAAGTTGATAATACTACATAAACTTGATATTATTTAAATTTATTATATCTATTCTAAACCAACTTCAAATAAAGATAAGAAGCTTTCAAATAGAGACCCTTGTATAATTGTAACATTATTCGAAGTAGACGTAGTTACTACTGTAATTAAAGTGTCACTAAATTGGGTCAGTAGTTTACACATAAAAATCTAATAATAGTTTTAACACCACCACTTCCTAATGTACCAGCTAAAGTAAAAATATTTGGCTATATGTAATTAAATAAAAATAAATATATATGTATAGTTAGAGAATCTTACAATAAATACCTAAAGCTTAGAATAATTTATAATGTATTGGATGGAGTTCGCTTGTGTTCGGCCGTTTTTCCACAGGGCTATCTTTTTGTTCATTTCTTGTTATTCGTATCGTTTTACGAGTAGTTGTTTGTTTACTGTTATTTGTTATTTATTTTAGTTTAAGTTGTTAACGTTGTTATTGTTGTTATTTGTAGCACGGAACCAGAAGCGGGATCGTCTACTGGTAAATCCAGTAAACGTCATCGTCGTAGAAATATATTTCTACCCCAAGGTGACGCATTATCAATGCATTTTACGTCACCACAAGCAAAACGTAAAAAGACAATTCTCACCAGTCTTACGATAATAAACATTTTTAAATACGTTCAGAAAACAAAGTCGAAAGATACATACTTATCTAATCGTGACCTAGTAAAACAAACTTCTGAAATATGTGGGGTGAATGAAAGATCGATATATCGAGTCTTGAATGAATATAGAGATACTCTCATAATATCAGAACCTAAGGCCACAAGGAACAGGTCGAATATAATTCAGAAACTGCATGATTTTGATAAATCAGCAATTCGAAAAATTGTTCATAGTTTTTCCTTAAAGGGAGAAATATCAACGATACAAAAAAAATTACAAGTTGTTAATGACGATAAGTACTTACACTTAGCATGACATCATTGTGACGGCCTTATTAAACATTTAAAGTTTAAGTACACGAGTAATCGTAAAAGTATGTTAATCAATCGTCGTGACATATTTAAAACAAATAAAAAAATATCGATAACAAAATCGATGACTCTTTTATACGGATGAGACTTGGATGAACGCAGATAAGAATATATATATATATATATTAGGGTTGATCTGAATCCCTCTTACACTGCCTTTCTTTGTCGGGTACTTTTATTTTGTGTCGTGGAGATTATTATTATATATATTTTCTAAATGTTATAGGCCATTATTATTACAGTAGGAAAAACTTGGGTAGACACAAATATCAAATCTGCAACACTGTAGTAGTCTGCAGTACTGAAATGGGCATAGGCTAATTTTTATCGCGGAATAAGTTTCCTAGGGAGCGCGATATAATAAAATCGCACGAGTCAAGCCGCGGGCGTGTCTAGTATGTAACCAAATCCCATTTTTTCTGAATTTCATCTTTTATTTTAGGTTTTGAGAAAACTCCTACAATTTCACAGAGAAAAAAAATACAAAACTGGCTTCGGTCGAAAAATGTAACTTTTACAGATAATGAAGTTAAGCGCCAGTTACTGGAGAAAGTAGCAGAAATTAAATCTAACTTCCAGACCTACGTCATTAATAAAATGGCAGATGAAACGGAGGTAACACTATTGCGATTACCCCCTTATTACTTTGACCCCATTGAGTTGATTTGGGTCGATATTAAGGGATACGCGTCGCCCACAACACAAACAAACACAACATTTAAATTCAATAATATAAAAAAGCTACTACAAGACGGAATATCACAAATAACAAATGCCAAGTGGGCTAATTACGTGGTAACATGTAAAAAAAGAAGAGATAAAAATGTATATTATGGACCATAATATCGACAAAACAGTCGATGAATTTATAATTCATGTGTCTGACAGTGAAAGTACGGAATCAAGTTCCGATAGCGATGACAGCCAATTTTGTTAAAGATAATTTATAATTTAAGTAATTAATGTTGAAAAATAAATTACATAAGATTTTTTAAAATTACCTTATCATAAAAATAAGCCCATATTTCGATGAATTTACGTTTTACACAAATACAATTTTGTCCCAAAGTTGACAATCCCTGAGCATCAAGCTGACCGGTACCATGTTACATTAGCGATATTAATATCGCCCGTTTCATCAAACATTGGTGAGTATCGTTATCGATATTGACGTTCACTTGGTAGTGAGGGGTGAATGACCGCTATTGACACGCTAACTGGCGGCAAGTATAGCTACATGTTAGTAATATCAATAAGGTTGCGTCCTATTTTTCATTACAGCCCTTTACAAATCCACTGTTAAACATAGACCTCCCCTAAGGAATGCACAAAGCACGGTTCTGATCAGTCTGTATCCATCGTATTTCTGCATCTCTAACAAGATCATCACTCCATCTCGTGAGGCCCGCTCTACACTTTGCTTACCGGTACGAAACTTACATATGCTTACATACAGTAAATGACATTAAATAAAAAAAAATTAGATTGAAACGAAAATAACGCCAACAAATAAAATTTCCGGAGAAAATTTTGCAAACACGTGTGACAGCCAATCATTCTATAGAAATGCTTAGTTTTGACTTTTAACAAAATTTAAAAACATTTTAATTGACTAGTGGCACATGCCCCAATTAAAATCATGTTAGGATCATATACTCTTTGGTCATATTTATTCAATATATAATTTGTTATATACTAGGATCCGATAGGAGGAGCTGTAGTCAAGTAATTAACAAATTCTTTATGAACCAAAATAACTCATATTCACTATATATGTTGTTAGCTCAGTGCTAAAAAAGAAATTGTTGTAATCTGGACCCGATAGATGGTGCTGTAAACAAGTTATTAATTTTTTATTTATACTGTAAAAAGTCCGTAGAGAAACTCATCGCGCCACCTACCGGAATTGGCAGCACAATGTCTGCCTGACCAGTTAGTATGAAAGTAAAAGAACAGAAATGTGTTTAAGATCAAACGGCTTCCCCAATCGGTCAATTTAACCCGATAGAATTATTATGAAACCATTTTGACAGAAAAAAAAAAAGAAAACAGTGTCCTAACATCAATCACTCATTGATCAAGTATTCGAAAAAAAATGGGCCAAAATAACGACAACAACCATAGAAAATTTATTGCGGACTCCCAAAACTAAGTAAAGTGATTAAAAATAAAAGTGGCCAAGGCACTACTTTTTATTTAGATATTAGCAAAGAATATATTACACAGTAAATTAATTTGTAGCTGATATCCTATATCCGATTGCGGATATAAGGTATTAGTAGTAAAATAAATTCAAAATTGAGAGGCGTGTAAAATGTATTTTCCCGTGTGCAGGTTTCCTAATAGTGACATGCACGCGTCAATGATCAGCAAGGGAATTGCAGCTAACGATACTGAGCAGTTAAGCGCGGGACGGTCGACAGATGTAGAAGGGGGTGATCATCTCGAGGCTTATAAGAAGATGAGATGGCTTACTAATTTAAAGCGATGTGTCGACAGTGGAGCTGATGGAAACTGGCGGCAAGTAATGTGCACGGATCTGTGCATGCAGGCGGGCCACTTCGTTGTCGGCGCGTTCCATTTCACGCACAATCTGCGTGAACTGCACGATACCTGTAGATGTAAAACATAGATTTATTTTATACAAGCTGTAAAACTCTATTTAACCTCCTCAGAGGTTGATTTTTCCAAAATCTTTCCAAATTCTTAGTGGGTGTCTACGGCGAGAAAGGCGAAATTTCAAGTCAATCGGTCGTATAGTTTTAGAGATCGCGTGATGAGTGACTGAGTCAGTGGTATTTTGCATATAATATGTATATAGAAAAATTACAGTGTTAAGCTGCTATTTTACGCTGGTATTCTGTGAGAGCGTGGTCCTTCCCCGGTCGAGCCGACCCATTCGTGTTACAACTATACTATTAATATAGCTGCAGCATGGCTCTACCACGTAAAAGACTCTTACAGGTCTTTATTCCCTGGTTGAAACCACCCATGTGTACTGCAACATGGCTCTACCACCACATTGTCTATAGACTATTATCATCAAGCAGGCACTTGCATAATATCTATCTAAGTAACTTTTCCCAGATTAACTGACAATGTATAGCCAAAGCTCTTGCAATTAGAATCTTGTATGAAATATTTAATCTTTATTACACAGAATAAATAGCTCAGATGGTTAGCACTCGCTGTAAATTTCATAGTACGCGAGCAACCTGGGTTCGATCCTCACCGGCACCAATGAAATTGTTAATTGCAATTTTAAGTGCTGATTTACCACGTGTTCGGCGGTGAAGTAAAACATCGTGAGGAAACCTGCATGTCTGAGAAATAAAAAAAAGTATTTCGAAGACATGTGAAGTTCACCAACACGCATTGGGGCAGCGTGGCGGACATTTCCTTGTCCTAAAACCCTCTCAGAAATGAGAGGCCTGTGCCCATCAGTGGGGCGTATATAGGCTGTAACTTATAACTTTTTTTAACACAAAATAAGCTGTGAGCGATTCTAAAAAAAAAATATTTTCAATATTAAAGTGGAGATTTTTTTCTCGAAATAAACAATAAATGTAATTTTTGAGAATTTTAGGAGCCATGGTAGCTCTGGGGAGGAATAAGCACTGATATACTACTACATGCTCGAATCAACATCCTGCTTTAGCTTGTATTAAACACTATCAAAACAATGAATAACATACTTTAAAATTGTTAATTACCTTCATTGAAGACTTGAGAGCATTGCAAAAATATAATGACACATCTATATTATTTATTTAAACAATAATGTTAATCAATAAATGCAAGAAAAATATTTACATACAAGAGCAATAAATAAGTTTTTAACTACACACATAACCTTATCATGTGCTATAACTAAAGTGAATAAAAGTGCCGTCTGATATCTGTTTCATCTGATTAAACAAAACAAACATAATATGTATTATATTGTTTTCACAACAATTATTAAGTGGAATATGTTTCCACAATAGGTATAAGCTTTGTTCCTCTGATTGTTAAATAGTTGATTATTCATCTCTTTGGTTTAGTGGTTGTAAGTGTGATTGCTAAACATGTTATCATATCATAGTTCGATTGGGAGAGAAATGAATTTATATTTTTCCAAAAATAATTATATAATTTAATTAATTTATTACTATTATTGAAATCCAATGATGATAATATTGACTTGTTTATTATTAATTATAATGAATTTACAAATATTATTCCAAAAATAATTATATATTTGAATGAGTTTCAATTAGAATATTAATTATATATTAATAACTAGCTGTTCCCGGCGACCTCATCCGCGTCGAAATTATTACGATTGGATTTTATGTTTAATTTTCTTGCACAGAACCCTAATATTTTTTTCCAAAGAAAAGTAACCTAAGCTTACATGCGCGAGTTCGACTCGCACTTGGCCGGTTATTTTATTATTCGAAGCTAAAAATAGTGCAATGAGTATTATTATATACTCCTCTTCCATATCCGAGACGTGTGCCTGAGCCGAGAAACACGAGACTACTGATTTATCTAAATTTTTAAGAGGTGAGGTATGAGGCAGTTTGCCGGAATTCATAATTTAAATTCCCACTCTTGAATTCAGAGAGGCATGTTACTTACAACATCAGCTATCTGCCAGTGAAAGTTCCGTCAAAATCAGTCCAGCCATTTCGGAGATTAGCCAGAACAAACAGACAGACAGGAAGACAGACAAACAAACAAAAATGTTAAAAATTGTTTTTTTTTTGTTATAAGTATTGTATATACTTTCTATGTGTTTAGTTAAAATCTGTTATTTTGACATTACAAACAACTTCAATTTGATTTATTTGTATAGATATAATCAATGAAGTTTAATCAATTATTGATTTGAATTAGTGGTTGGCGTTAAGATTAGGTTAAAAAATGCAATAACTTTTTTTTCAAGTGATTTGTAAATATAAGGTGCAGGAAAAAAATAAAGACAATGTTACTTCAACTATCGTTTCATTACATCAACCCACGGTCGATCAAAAGAGACACACAAGGTCCCGGGTTTGAACCTCGGATCAGGCCAAAATTAGTTATTTAATTTTTCTATCAAGAAATTTTAAGTAGCAGCCTATAGTCAGAAAGTTGGTGGTGTTTCACCCACTTGCCTCGAAAAGCACGAAAAGCCATTGGTCCTGATCCCTCCCCGGTCATTTTGGATTGCAGTCTTATGAGACTATGAGAGTGAGGGAATAGATAGTGCACCTGTGCCTGCGCACACACTCATGCAGTATAGTTCTGCACAGATGGCTAATCTCCGTTGGAGTTGGCCGATGGCCACTGTGACCAAAATTCATTCTGGATGACATTAGTTAATTATTTCAATATGCAAAGCTATAATTAAATAGATGTATGATTATATTCAAACATTTTATTTGTATTACTTTGTCATATAACAATATGCTACAATATCTATATATATAGTCATATCATAGTTATAACTACAATTATGACTGTGATGAATGCTGTGGCACATAGACATCTTTATTCCGTTTATCCACCCTAGGGTGGATACTCGGAAATGCATGTTCGTTTATCTACCCTAGATGGGGTGGATAGGCGGAATTCACTTTTTGATAGTTGTTCCGCCTATTCATCCCAAGTACAGTTCAAGGGAAAATATATTCATACTTTAATATATTATTGAATCATTTTTAATAACCTCAAACTTAAACAAAAATCATATTACATACAATATTACATTTAAACCAAATTAAAGTTTCTCGTTTTAAATAAGTAATTTATAAAATCTGCAATATGTCCAGGAAATGACCAACACTAATTTCATTATTGAGTAGACGTAATTGTACATTCCGTATAAATGTGTCTCTTTTAATGTACATTTGCAATCATTTTCTAAATTTATTTGTTACAACAGATGTTTGTTTTTCATTTCATTTGATATTGTTTTATGCTAAGATTCCAATGATTTTGTAGTTCTGATTCTGGTGATTCTAATTTTCGCCCTTGAGCCATGTCTTTTCATAGTAATTCACAAACGCCATATTATCATAATTATTCTATGATGTAAATTGTGTCACATCGAATGATATGTAATTGAACAATTAAAGTATTTCAGGTTTGACCTTCAAACAAGAAGTATGTATGTATTTTTATATATATGCTAATGTCTACAAAGTAACCTTGGGCTAGTTTCTATCATGTTTTTATAAATGACTGTACACAGCCGAGGGAGAAAATCAGAAGAAAAATAATATACGAATTTCGACTATCCAACCTAGGGTGGATTTCTTAAGATGGATAAATGGAATAACCCGACATCTTCATCTAAAAATGTATATGCGTTGCCACCCCTGAGTACTAAGATATTATGCCTTGTTACCAAAAAAAAGGGTGTCCTGTTCTCTCTATTCGCCATATGAAAGAGCTGCTGCTATTTTATGCTGGTATTCTATGAGAGCATGGTACTTCCCTGGTTGAGCTGATTAATTCATGCTGCAACCTTTCTGTAGCTGCAGCCAGGTTCTACGATGTTAAACATTAAGTCCCCCCTTTGTAATCCTTTTTAATGATATGTTTTAGTATAATAACGTGTAAATAAATAAATAGTTTTCCTCATTAACTTCAAACATAACAAAAGTTTAAATATTTTACCAACCTTCTCGAGAATTAATAAATCCATGGCGCTTAATAGTCTCCATCTCAATTTGCACAACCATAGGGAAAACAATCTGCATCATTTTCAACATTTCATTTCCTGCCGCCTCCTTGGCCTCGTCAAGCTTTGGTGCATAGTCAGGTGATTCCAAGGTGTCAATAACTTCGTTTAATATCAGTCTTACTTGATCAACTGTGATACTCTGTGGTGACGCCATTTCATGAGTTCAATAGGCATTACAGTTGTATCTAAAATGACAAAAACTAATTTAAGTTGTATCATTTGAAGTGACTTAGGGTACAAACTGCAAACTTGAAAATGTTGTTAACCACATCTAACATGAGAATTTTAAAACAGAATTACATAAAAGTGTGTGTATTTCCAGAATTTAATGAGATATTACTGCTTATGATACTTTACTTCTTTGTCACCTACAAACTCTTTTTCTGCTTAGAAATCTAGTTTTTTTATATTTATGTTTATTGTGTATATATTAAGGCGGCTCTTCACGTTGGCCAACATACTAGCGAATGTGTTGGCCAACAACGATGGTCTCTGTGAAGAGCGGGTGTTTAAGCTACATTGGTACGTATTGGAACGATGGCCCACAAGTTGACGCGAGATTCGTCTGGTGTTGGTTTTTTACAAAAGATCAAAGGGTTGTGGCAGAGTATTGGCCGCCGTGTCCACGTTGGGCGCACGTTCAGTAATTCAGTTTGCTACGAGCTCCCAGTGATTGCACGCACCTAATTTAAATTTTATATGCACGCATCGTAACTAGTGTCTACATAACGGCAGTAACAATGACCAATGAAAAAACTTTTCGCTTTGTAAAGCCCTACCAAGCCGAAAATTGTTTGTGAAACACAAGTCCTTTTAAAAAAAAAAACGTTACCCCCACACTAGGACTTTCTCCTGTATCGTGGAGGCAGTTTAGAAACATATATTGCATAAGGACAACATCCAGACCCAGAGCAATTATATGCAGGCTATACAAATACTTGATCCGTGCGGGATTCGAACCCGCGGCCCCCAGCGCAGCAACTCATTGCTAAGCCACTACGCCTCGGAGCCGTCAAAAAATAAAATTTCTTTTTTTCCATTTCTTTTTGACCAACCTTTTCTTATACACATTCACGTTGTAGTGATTGATGTATTAATTGATTTATTGATGTATTAATGCTATGAGACTAGGTAAGATACTAAATTCAAATTAAAAGGTAGGATACTAAAATCATGTTTTTACTGTCTTTATTATTCCCTATTAGTTACTTTATTTCGTTAATAATACTGTAATTTTTAGCTATGGAAGAGCGAAGTCACCTATTACAGGCATTATTTTGTTTACTAGGTGACCTCGATCACTGATCATATAATGTAACTTTAATGTTTGACGAAATAAATTATTCATTATTATTATTAAGTTCGCCATATGTACTACTTTTTTTTTACAACAGTTTCATAGACAGGCTTCGAATATTTTCCAGGCCTTAGTTAATTATACCTATGCCTAGGTGTGTTAATATTTATATAGTTTACTTCTGTGTATAACGTTAGTGTATATAATAAAGAAATATTAAAAATAGTGAAAATTAAATAAAAAATAGTGGTATGCTGTGAATAAATAAACCGCAACAGCCGTTAGCGCTTCAATTATCATTTTAATAAATTCGTCCGCACATTGGCCTGAACCGAAGCAAACTGAACGACCTTCCAACGTGTGGATGTGTTCACAAATTCTTGGCCAATATCTTTGCCAACACATTCACCACTATGTTGGCTAACGTGAAGAGCCGCCATTAGACTAATGTTCCAAAGAGGGTAGAAATTTAGTAAGCAATAAAACTCCCCCACTCATCAATTTAATCTTTGATGAGCTTATTTCATTCTTAATGAGACAAACAAAATACCAACATATTCTGTCCATTGTGGTAATTCTTTTAGTACAAACAACAAAAGTGATGTTAGTCTTATCTCCTCAATTTCAGGACACACTCCCCTTGTTGCCTCAACCAGCATCAAAATTCTGGGTGTCTATATAGAGTGACATATGGTTCCACAGTCACTTGAAAGAGAAGACTGCACTGTCCTCTAAAAAGCAGGGTGTGCTCAGTAGATCAAGATAGTATGTCTTAACACTTGCAGCTTTACAAAGTGCACATTTGGCCTCATATGGAATACTGTTCTCATCTCTTGACTGGGGAAACCCAGTACCAGCAGTGTACAATATTAATATTGTTTTACAAACAGTAGCGATTTTTAAAAACTATCAGTATTGTTACATATAAAGTAAGTTGAATTGTTGTATGTATCATATACATAATACATAAATCCTCACGCCTGTCACCCAGAAGTGTGGCATGCGTGAGTGTGGCCTACTATGAACTTCCATTTGCCACAATCCGGACACACCTCTCTCACTTCCTCCACATCCATATACCTACACATACACGCTTGTCGGTTAAGGGTACTCTCAATTTGGCCATTTTCAATATATTGCCAATTTGATCTATAAACTTTCGCCTAGGGCATCTAATATGTTCAGAATATAGAATAAAACACAGAGGTTGAATATTGTTATGTATTAAGCTTGGTAGCATGACAAAACCCAGTGTCATAAGTGAATATTAAATTACCTACATTTAATTTACTTTATTAATAACAAAGTAAACAAGTAGCCCCAAATAGAATAAGAATAAATCTTTGAATATGACAGCATCTCTTCCCGACTCTGCCATTCACCTCTGCAACATAAATTTACTTTGTCACTCTTTCATCATTCATTCGTTCTACATGACCAAACCACTGAAGGATTCCTTTCTTAATCCTGGTCACAACATCATTTTACAAACCACACTCTTCTCTTGTCACACAATTTCTCACCCTGTCATTCAGATTCAGCCCTAACATACTCCTTAATGACCACATTTCTACAGCCTTTATTCTACTCTCGTGCTTCTTCTGCCACACCCAACTTTCACTACCATACATTAAAGTAGGGATTAAAATAGCATTGTAAATTGCCATATGTGCCGTTTAGACACATTCTGACTTTCCACAATAGTTTAGAGCCCTATTTACGCTATTTCCTACATTCACTCATCATTTGTACTTGTAGATGAATGACCCATTATCAGTTCTACCTATCAACATAAGTTCTATATATATCAATGTGTTTCTTTAAAAAAAATTTATACACAAATTAATATTTATAGAGCAATAATTACTAAAATTTCAAACTACTACTTACTATAAAACCCAGAGGTAAATTTACAGGGTCACATATAATAATAAGACAAATTAATAAAATAAAGCGGGAAAGAAAAATGTTCCATTTGCATTAGAATGTACTCTGTGCCCTATACCTCTGTCCTATAGATATTTTAGAATTGAATTTTCTAATTTACTGGAAACTTACTGGAGAAAAGGTGCTATTTTTTGTCAGTGTTTACACTAATTGATGTACTAATTTCTCACAAAACAAAAACTTTCTTTTGTATTGGCCTATTGGTTTTGCATACAACAGTTTAATTAATTTGGCAATTAAATACGTTGACATGGTTTTATTCTATAGAAAATTTCATCAAAATGTGGTATTTGCAATAAGAATTTACAGCAAAAGATAAAGGAAAATGAGTGTTTGCACTACAAATCCCCAAACTTTTCTAGGCGTTCTCCTGCACATTGGAGAAAACATGCTAGTGAACATTTATTCTGTACAATGGACCTGAACAGTTTCTGTGGGTTGCACGACGACGACGTCTAATACCGGAAGACGATTTTTTGCAATATTTTGTATTTAAGCCTAGGTACTTATAGTATGTAGTTAATAAAAGAATTGTAAACAAACCGTGATAAACATAGCGAAGCCCCCGCTACCACCCGCTCCACGCCACTGCCACCTATACACTCTTATCTATGCTGCCACCATAGTGGACTGCCACTCTCTGCTCTCTGGTATATAGTGTATTATCTATGACTGCCACAAACCCACAAAGCAAACAATATAGGTATACATACAGTAGTCTATGCTATATAGGAACCAGTTACGGTTTATACCAAAGAGAATATAACCACTACGTTTAAGGCCGGCCACATACATACGGAATTCCGTTTCGAGATTCCGTTTCGATATTCCGATTCGGGATTCCGAACGCAGCAAGTCCAGATAAAATCTATGACCCGCCACACACGTACGTTATTTTTCCGTACGGAATTTCTCCGATTCGAGATTCCGTATGATCGTCTGTGCGTTCGGGATCCCGAATGGAAAAAAGCCGCTCCGAACGCACGTCTTCCATAGATTTTGTACGAGTCGCAACATACATACGTAAATTCCGTACGGAATGCGCTCAGTGTTCGTCGCACGACCGAAGCGAGTAGGTGTATTTATGTATGTTTTTACATTTAATCTTGTAGGTGTATAGCTTTTCGTAACCTTTCATCTTATTTTATTTAATAATTCCTCGATAGAATTTACATACATAAATATTTAAAAAATATCTCTGGATAAATAGATCTTTTTACATAGTATTGACTATATTGCAAGCTTAGGGTGATAAGGGGATGCACCTAGTAAGAATGATACAGCAACAATGTAATTTGCGATTAGAAAATCGTCGTCATTATTCGCTGGCAGAATGTCTAGACTCAATGGCTAACGTCTCTCAACTGACCCTTGTTATTCCGAACGGAAAAAAAACGTGTGTGTGTGATGTATTCACGGAATCCCGATTCGGGATTCCGAAACGGAATCACGAAACGGAATTCCGTATGTATATGGCCGGCCTAAGGCCCGCCATATACATACGGAATTCCGTTTCGAGATTCCGTTTCGGAATTTCGAACGGTCGGCCACACACAAACGGAATCCCGTTTTTCCCGCAAAATATCGAACGGAAAACTACCCTACGTGTGTGGCGGGTCATAGATTTTATATGGACTTGCTGCGTTCGGGATTCCGAATCGGAATATCGAAACGGAATCTCGAAACGGAATTCCGTATGTATGTGGCCGGCCTAAGAGGCGGCACTTCCTAAGAAAAAGGTATGGAGTGTAGAGTAGAAGGAGAACCATCTTATAAGGTGCGAAAGTTGAAAAAGTGTCCCACTATTTACTGAAAATAGAGGTTCCAAAACCTACCACAATAGCGCTGGCGTCTGAAAAACTACGATATGAATATAGCTGTTGTTGACGGAGTGAAGTCAGCTGAATTAA